TTATATCGATGTAGTGTCCACTTACGTTGTGTATATAGAAATTTTATGGAAGGAGATGATCTGTATCTATTTGAATGGCTACCCATCCGTGTATGTGTGTGTGTGTTGGGTTAGTAGGTTTTACGCCGTATCAACACATGTCGGGCCATGACATATGGGAAACTATAATTTTTATTATACTTGAGACTATAAGTAAATGTTGATTGGATTCATACTTGAATCTATAGAGAAATAATGATCGAATTTATACGTCAGACTATAGGTAAAGATTTGTAAGATTTATACTTTGATCTATCATTGGTCGGCTTCATTTTTCAGCTTATGGGTACACATTGGACTGGTTTATATTTGACTCTATAGGTATACATAGGTTTATTACTTGGGTTTACACTTGAGTCTATATAGGTAAGCATTACTTTGGTTTATACTTGAGTCTATATAGGTAAGCATTACTTGGGTTTATACTTGAGTCTATATAGGTAAGTATTTTACTTGGGTTTAAACTTGAGTCTATATAGGTAAGTATTTTACTTGGGTTTATACTTGAGTCTATATAGGTAAGTATTTTACTTGGGTTTATACTTGAGTCTATATAGGTAAGTATGTTACTTGGGTTTATACTTGAGTCTATATAGGTAAGTATGTTACTTGGGTTTATACTTGAGTTTATAGGTGAACGTTGGTCGGATTGATACTTCAGTCTATAAGTAAACATTGGTCTGATTTACACTTGAGTCTATAAGGAAACAGTGGTTTCGTTTATAATTGAGTATATAGGTAAACATCGGTCTGCTTTATAAGCGAGTCTATAAGTGATATGTCTCGGAAAGGGATATATTTGAACGAAGTAGCTAAGTGGTTTTGGTTACTATAACCAAGTAGAATACGGTAGCAGTAGTCGACTGGTACGCGTCGTAGTCGCAGGTAAGAAGTGTAGATCAATGGCGTAGTCCAATGGGCGTCGTTATAGACTTAGCTCTCAGACTAAGGCTCTTCTGACTCTCTCGTACCTACACGTGCGTCGGTATTTATGACGGACACCAGCCAATCATATTCCAGTGAGGGGGAACACATGTGTATGCATATTCCATTATATCAATAAGTAACCATTTGTTTGATCTATACTTGAATCTATAGGTAAACATTGGTCTGGATTATTCTTGAGTCTATATAGGTAAGCATTACTTGGGTTTATACTTGAGTATATAGATAAACATTGTTAAGCTTCCCACTTTAGTCTATAAGTAAACATTGGTTTGGTTATACTTGAGTCTATAGGTAAACATTGGTCGGCTTCATATTTGAGTCTGCCTCATAATCAGGACTTTCTACAGCCTTCACATCCATTCGTATAACAAACCTCATTCATCATTATCCTTTTGATTCTACTTTAATTGGCTCTCGAGCCTTATACTGTGTGACTTTTAGCATAAAACGTTAAGGAATGCAACGTTAAGCCCTTGAGTCCTGCGTTCCTGAAGATTTTTAACCCTTTTGCCTGAGTGTACCCATACCCGACTTCCCTCTTAGAACTGAGGCCATATTGAGTGGGTTAAACATAACCCCAACTTTGGTACTGGGCGTTATCTCCAATTTAGATCCCAACAAGGCGAGTGGTGGAGATGGGATACCAGCCATTGTCTTAAAAGAAATGCGCGCCTGAACTGGCGCAAGAAATATTATTCGAAACTATACAACTACTGCCTCAAGGAATCTTGTTTTCCTGACTGCTGGAAGTCCTCTTCGATCGTTCCTGTCTTCAAGAACTCCGGCGACCCCTCTGACCCTTCCAACTACCGTCCTATCAGTCTCCTTCCCTCTTCGGCAAAATCTTCGAAGCTCTAATCAATACCGGGGTGGTTAACCACCCACATCCCATAATCTGCTCTCAGATATAGCAATATGGTTTATATTTGCCAGATCTACAGCCGATGTTCTCACAGCCATCACTGAAACAGTCTACCGAACTTTCCAAAATAACGGGGATAATCTCCAAAGCATTTGATAGGGTTTGTCACAATGATTCTCCGCAAGATCCAGGGTTATGGCATTACGGGTCAATTATATAACGTAATAAAATCATTCCTGTCAAACCGTGAATTGAAGGTCGTCACAACGGATTCTCCTCCAGTTCCTATCCAACGAACGCAGGTGTCCCTCAAGGCTCCATCCTAGGCCCCACTTATTCCTTATCTATATAAATGACCTTCCTGACGCCATAAAACTCTCAAGCCGGCATTTACGCGGATTTATTTATTTATTTATTTTTGCCTTTTTTTTTAAATCCAGTCTTGCTGACAAAACTCACCTGCCATGCGTCTCGAAAAGGACCTCCAATCGATTGTGAACTGGGGCATGATTTGGCTGGTCAACTTTAACGCTTCGAAGACAAAACTGCTCTCTATTAATCACCACAGAGATCCTTCCCTTCCCTCCATTAGAATGTCTGACGCTCAACTTCTCGAGAGCAACACTCTGCGGCTTCTCGGTCTCACGTTGACTGCTGACCTGAGATGGAATAAATACATCGAGTCAATTGCCTCGTCCACTGCGAGGAAAGTTGGCTCCCTGAGCCGTGTTAGGAAGATTTTCTCCCCTGAGTCGATCCTCCAGATATACAAATCCACAATTCGCCCTTGCATGGAGTATTGCTGCCATATATGGTCTGGCGCTCCTTCTGTTTGCCTCGGGGTTCTTGATAGGATCCAGAAGCGGATATGCAATATGGTTGGCCCTGCCCTGGCGTCTCGTCTACAGTCACTTTCTCACAGACGCGCCGTCGCCTCCTCTGTCTGTTCTACAAATACTTTCATGGAAATTGCTCCGAGGAGCTGCATTCGCTGGTTCCCAGACGTCATGAATTCCAGCGCCCTACGAGGCTGGCATCCCGCTCTCACCCCTTCACTGTCGAAACTCCCTAAATGTAGCTGTCTCTTCTACTCTAATAGCTTCATGTCTCGAACCTCTCGCCTGTGGAACTCCCTTCCCCCTCCTGTTTCTGTGAGCTATAATCTCCAGCTATTCAAGTGTAATGTCAATCGACATCTCCAGTTGCCTTAATCTATCCACTACCCTCATCCTTTCTTCTATCACTCCTATCTGATCTTGCTATTTTCTGTAACCCCTTGCGTCCTAGTGGCTCCCCGCCTTGCTTGGGGTGAAACGCTTAAAAAAAAAAAAAAAAAAAAGCTCCAGAGTCAAAATTCACAAATAATAGGTATGTAGTGTTTCATGGTAGATATAAAAATAGTTACATGTGTTTACCCACCGTTCAACCGGTGGCTGGGCATTAAGTCATGTTTCTCTACCACCGTTCACCCGGTGGCTGAGCATTAAGTCATGTTTCTCTACCACCGTTCAACCGGTGGCTGAGCATTAAATGATGTTTCTCTACCACCGTTCAACCGGGGGCTGAGCATTAAGTCATGTTTCTCTACCAGCGTTCAACTGGTGGCTGAGTATTAAGTCATGTTTCTCTACCACCGTTCAACCGGTGGCTGAGCATAAAGTCATGTTTCTCTACCACCGTTCAACCGGTGGCTGAGCATTAAGTCATGTTTCTCTACCACCGTTCAACCGGTGGCTGAGTATTGTCATGTTTCTCTACCACCGTTCGACTGGTGGCTGAGCATTAAGTCATGTTTCTCTACCACCGTTCAACCGGTGGCGGAGCATTTAAATCATGTTTCTCTACCACCGTTCAACTGGTGGCTGAGTATTGTCATGTTTCTCTACCACCGTTCAACCAGTGGCTGAGCATTAAGTCATGTTTCTCTACCACCGTTCAACCGGTGGCTGAGGATTAAGTCATTTTTCTCTACCACCGTTCAACCGGTGGTTGAGCATTAAGTAATATTTCTCTACCACCGTTCAACCGATGCCTGAGCATTAAGTCATGTTTCTCTACCACCGTTCACCCGGTGGCTGAGCATTAAGTCATGTTTCTCTACCGCCGTTCAACCGGTGACTGAGCATTAAGTCGTTTTTCTCTACCACCATTCAACCGGTGGCTGAGCATTAAGTCGTGTTTCTCTACCACCGTTCAACTGGTGGAACTGGTGGCTGAGGATTAAGTCATTTTTTTCTACCACCGTTCAACCGGTCGCTGAGCATTAAGTCATGTTTCTCTACCACCGTTCAACCGGTGGCTGAGCATTAAGTCATGTTTTTCTACCACCGTTCAACTGGTGGCTGAGTATTAAGTCATGTTTCTCTACCACCGTTCGACTGGTGGCTGAGCATTAAGTCATGTTTCCCTACCACCGTTCAACCGGTGGCTCAGCATTAAATCATTTTTCTCTACCACCGGTAAAGCGGTGGTCAGGGCTCAAAGCGTTTAATAGGAATAAAGAAATAGGTTTCAAAAATATACAAACTCTCGTTCGATATTCTATCTTACTCGTTTTATTCTTACGGTCGGAGCGTTTTCGCTTAGATGTAAAATATTTTGATCAAAGCAGGAATATAGTGGAGGTTAATTTGTTGGTTTTCTACGGATTGCCAACCGTTTGCAAGTTATTTAAAGCCAGAATATATTTTTAGATTGTAATATTTTTTTTTTAGTTGATAATGATTTAGCGACACAAGTTCCAATAATTAAACTATAGCTGTTGGTGAGAGAAGCTTATTTACACGTAAGTGAATGCAACAAACACTACTGAAATTGGAACCCGGCTCTCCGATTAACAATTCCGAGCCATTACCCATTACACCACCTGCATATCCAAGCTTCACATCCATTCATATAAAAACTCATTCATCATTAACATTTTGACTCTACTTTGATTGGCTCTCGAGCCTTGCACTGAGTGGTTTTAGCATAACAACGTTAAAGAATGCAACGTTAACCCTTTGAGCCATGCGTTCCTGAATATTTTTAACTCTTCTGCCTGAGTTCCCTAGTCAAAATTCGCAAATAATTAGTATGTCGTGTTTCACGGTAGATATAAAAATAGTTACATGTGCTTACCCACTGTTCAACCGGTGGCTGGACATTACTATTATTCTCAAGTGGTCACACATCTAAGTACTGACCAGGCTTGATGTTGCTTAACTTCGGTGATCGTACGGGAATTGATGTTTCAACGTGATGTGGCCGTAAGCCTATATAGTGAAAAAATAAAAATAAAAAAAGAAAACCGCAAAAATAATGAACGGTTGAAGATAATTAACGAGCACGGATTTCTTTATAAGACAGAAAATGTATCTTAAGGACCAATGGTGGTTGATTTGACCCGACGACTACTCTTAGTAAGGATCGAAGTCACGAATAATTATCACGCACAAGAATCTCGCTAAAAATCCACGATGAGATGCGTTCGTGCACATGGCGAAGAGAGATGGTCATATATTTCCTTTTGGCGCATTTCGGAAACATAATCTCCGGAATTGGTTAATTTGTCGTCTGCGGAGGGCGAGTTTATGTCTGATTGGAAGCAATTCATTTCTTCCTACTTCTCGCTGCTTGCTTTAACGATTAGAAGCTATTAAACACAGAAAGGTGCGACAAAAACAACAAAGAAATTCGTGACTGAGGAAATAAAAAGAAAAAAAAAAAGCTTCCCCTCAGAATGCAGAATAATTTAATAGTTATCAGATAATGCATTACGACGATGAAAACATTATCCTAAATGAATAATGAAAATACTTAATCTCATCATTCAATTTAAGATTGATTTTATGTGATAGAAGAATTTAGTAATTCGCTAAAATTTAATCGACTGATTTTATAATCCTTCTTGGAGACAAACATCAAGATATCTCGTCGTCAACTTATTAGGTTGAGCTATAAATAACTTCTGCTTTTCTTTATATAATGCATTCTTAAAAAAATAAAGTACAACTACATTTTATTCAATAACTAGCTTAAAGGCCGCACTCCATGCAGAGTTTTAAGCTAGCTCCTGCGGAGGGATAATTGGCCTTCCGGCCACAAGACTAAAGGGACCTCTGGTCCAGCTTAGAAAACAGCAATGATAATTTTGAAGAAATAACATTGAATCCCTCAATTCACTCCATGGAACTTTAAAGCCTCTTTTAAACTTTGATCCAGTCCAATTCCGGCCAAAAGATTGTTTTGGGCCGAAAGTACTATTTGGACCGAAAATTCGATTTGGGTCGTAATTCCAATTCAGGTCGAAAATTGAGTTCTTCAAATCACATACGCCGTGGAACTTCAATTGAGTTGAGTTCTTCAAATCAAAAACTCCGCGGAACTTCAAAACCTCACTTCACGGAACCTCCCCCTTAAACTCTGATTCCTTGGCATTTTGAAGAAATAAAATTGATTTCCTCAGTTTACAAAGCTTTGGAAATATTTTCAACTGAATTTAAAGCTAAACTTTTTAAATTCACAAAGACTTTGTGTTACTTTAAAATCAATATAGATTAAAAACTTTTAAAATCACTATTTTTTTTTCATTTACACTAAAATTTGAATTTTTAAATATTCCCTCCTCAACCGAACGCACATCCCAATGCGGGATGTTCAATCACAAGATCATTCTGATTCCCAAAAGGTATAATATGTCTATATTGTTATGCCATAGTACCTATTCTAATGTAATGGACTCTCCCATAGATAATAAGTAGGAGTAGCAGTGGCAAGTCTGGCAGAATGGTGTTGAGCGCGTCAGTCGAGATTCGGACATTTGAAGTACCAACCATCACAACTAGATTGCTGCGCCATTGACTCTTATTTTCCAAGTTCCTAACGTTTTTGTACGTCGGACCTAATTTAGGGCGACTTATTAGAAATACAAGCCTCCACTGTGAAAATACTCCACAACATATATAGAGCAAGGATGGACCAAGGTAGAGGGGTTTCAGACACACGGACGGACACACATAATTTCCCGTTTATTTATTTAGAAGAAATATTCACCATTATTTGCAATGACTTCTTGTAAATTTACCAGGTCGCTCTTTGATACCGCATGAGCAAAATTCTTCAGGTTTTGATTCCAAAAAGATTTCACCCAACTCTTTAATCTGGTTCTTATTAAAGTAAGTTTCTCTCCATCAAAGCAATTTTCTGCAATCAAAAAAATTTAAAAACCGGTTGGTCAGTAAAAGTCTACTGGACTGTGATGTAATATCGCTTTTTCTATAAAAGCAGTGACTCATGGGAAATCTCAGCATAGATGAAGGAGTGACTTGAGGCAATAGAAATGTAGTTTTACAGAAGGATGCCGAGGATACCATGGACTGAACATGTGAGCGACGACGAAGTTTTAGCGCAAATGACACGTTTACATAGAATCATAAAGAAAGAGTTGAAATATTTAGGGCAGATAATAAGGAAAGAGAGCTCGGAGAATTTGACACTCACAGGACATATTAAATGCAAAGGGGGTCGAGGGAAACAACGAATAACCTATCTAATGAGTTTGTATAAATGGTTGGCAGTACAGAGAGTTAAAAAAAAAATCAACAAATCCTATTACGGGCTACAAAGAGCAGGAAATTGTGGAGAGTCATTATCCTTGAAAAACAGGAAATTTAGAAGAAGTAGAAAACTACAATCAATCCACCGTCTATGTGTTAGTTGAAAGAGTAGATTGTGTTCTCTAGTATTGGGTGGTAATCAGTTTTAAAACGTAAAATTCAGAATTCAGGCGAATATGGCATGTGAGATGGAGCAGAAGAAACGAGTTCCAAAATGTTTTCTCTGTGCTGTGCTTACTGTAAATGGATCTGTGTTGTCATGGAGAAAAAACAATATATTTCCTCTGGCTGAGCATTTTGTGGCCAAACCTTTATGGACATGTTGCCGCTGCTGGACGAATAAATGTGCATATAGTGTTTCACCTCATCTTAAAATATCTTAATGAATAATACTCTGAGGCACTTGTTGATATGTATCCTTGCCTAGCTTACTGAGTTGAACACTGCCGTATGTTAATCTTACTTATTATAAAACGCAGATTGTGTGTGTGTGTGTGTGTGTGTCTGTACGTTTATATATTGGATCGGATTTCCTACATTTTTCAACCGATTTCAACAAAACTTCACAGGACTACGTAAAATTACCTTGCAGTGGTTCTGACAGCGCCAAAAATTAGAAAAACACATTGTTTTTGCACGAAATCAATTTAAAGATACGATTAGGAGGCATCAGGAGAATGAAAGGGGGACAACTCATATCGAGTTATACTTATTATAAAACCCAGGTTGTTTGTGTGTGTGTTCGTTTATATATGGAATCGGATTTCCTACATTTTTCAACCGATTTCAACAAAACTTCACTTTTTTTTGGCAGGTAGTGTTTCTTATTGTCTTGCACACTTTTTTCTTTATTTTTACATTCAGAATGCTTTAAAAATTCTATTTACAAGACAATTGTTTATCATAAAATTCTATTCAATCGATAGACTCATAACGATTGAAAACAATGTTTTTGTTTGAGTTTGGGTTTGACCAATTCGTAAAAAAAACAACAACAAAAAAAAAAAACAAAAAAAACAAAAAAAACTAATTAAGACATGCGTGTCCGTCAACCTTAAACAATAATCTTTGTCAGTTTTATGTTTCAGTCTTTATGATGGTTGATACTTGATCTATCTCTTACTGTTACATGCCCGGGCAACACCGGGCTCTACTGCTAGTTTAATCTAAATTTATCATTAGTACGTTAGATTATACGGTCATATCACGTTATGAAACATCGAATCTGGTCAGTACCTGGATGGGTGACCTCTTAGGATTACCGGGTTCTAAAAGCTTCGATGTGAGTGTGTTGTAATTTATAACGGCTCAGAATTCGAAATCAGAATTTCCAGTTTTAGTTTCCAATTGGGTTCATTATATTCAATAACGCGCAAGTACCTTTGGGAGACATATAAATTCATTCACCTCTTCTTCCTCCAGCTATGGGTTAATTAGTAGAAATTGTATTAGTAAATCATTATCTCCAAAAAATCGTTTAATCTAAAAGTATTTTCTAGTTCTAATAACTTGTATCTTAAACCGTAAAAATGAAATCAATCAATAAACATTCGTTACTGTAATTGGTTTCCGAAGAACAGATATTACTTATGATTCAATCTAATAGATTCTTATCTAGACTTTCACCAAAGACCAATAGTTTTTTCTAGCCAACACATCTATATACAGAAAACGATATAAATCCGATTCTATATTTCCGTGATAGTGTATTTTGGTTTTCTGTACAAGCATGAATATGCAAGTTAACCATATTAATAGAGATGCCTGCGGAGAATCAAACTTAGTTTTCATCTTGGTCGCCGGAAGTTAATATCACTTTGTGAGCTTCAGCGTTGGTATAAAGGTATCATATTATCAGGCCAGGTATTATATCTTTTTACTATTAAACCAGGATGCGAGATTTGCTTTCTGGAGTCAGTGTCTCTCCCGAAAGAAGGTCACGATAGGACACAGACAACAGCCACTCAACAAATGTTAACAAAAGCATGTCTACTTGTAAGCGCTTTCTATGTGAATAAAGCTTTGTAAGTATGTTTATCTTTACGCATGGATCCCTGAATGCGCCTGAATATGATTCCAAGTCCATTGTATATCCAGGATGAGCCAGGTATTTGTGAGCACGCATCTCGCAGTGCATAAAGGGAAGACGAACTAACGCAATGTTAGATAGTATGCATAAAAAATATAACGTTCTTGTTTTTCTTTCAGATTTATCAAGTGCATTAACATGGCAGGCTGTAGTCTGATGCAAGAGATATAGCAGCAAACCTCACTCGTAGCACTAGCTTGGAAACACAGCGGGTAGCTTCGCGCTCATCCCAGAAATATACTTATTGTGATACACATACCATCGGCTGTTGTGATTTTAGGGGTCGCGATCAGTTAACGACTCATGGCCTCAGGACTGTTACCAGTATCCACAATAAAGTGATGGATGTGGGAGTCAGGTCTTTTCTCCTGACTTTTTCAACTTATATAGCGGGGCTATACAAACAAGCTGGTGACCCTACCGGCAAGCGAAATCGTAACAATCTACGCAAATGGCAGTGTTGATGGCTGATACGGAAAAAAATCAACAGAGTGATCCAACAGGTGTTTTTTTTTTCACCCTCATTTGCACGATTAGCTTCTACTTGTTTAATTCCGGGATCAGTT